TTTTCCTCTTTTAATCGCGGCAGTATCCACAGCAACTTCTGCAACGGAAATCTGCAGATCAGTGGTATCTGCAACTGCATCCACGATAGTTGTTCTCATTGTAGCAGTGACAGCTGCAACAGCTGTCGTCGTGCCAATCGCAGTGACGAGCAGCTTCTCTTGTCACTACTAACAGTTATGTATCGATCCATGAGCTTGTTTGCAGTCGTTTATTCTCGGATAAAGTCTACGATTATATAGATTTATATAAAACGTGTGGTGCGACTTTGTCGAATCCACAAGAATAATGAATCGCTCATTTTAAGGAAGCTTATTTCCACAAACAGGCTTACTGTCTGCTTTATATAAACATACATTTTGTAAATGGGCTATATTTTAACCATTGAGATAATACTAAGGCAGCGCATCATTTAAGGCAGAGTTTCGTTCATTTAGAAAAGAGCTTTATTTTTTAAATTAAACAAGATAGTTTCTCGTGTTTCCCGAAACACAAAGATTTCATAATAGTATCTTGTCTAAAGCGATTGAATCAATTACTGGTTAAATCCACGGCCTCCTTTTTAACGAGCTCTTCGCAACGGCATATTAAACGACCGTGAGGAACATGAGGCAAGCCACTGTCGATCCAGCAACCGCTTTGAAGCTCCTTCGACGTCAGCTGCCGAGAGAAATACGGCTGTTTCTCGTCTGAGTCTCCGCGAGTGTAAAATGCTCCGCGAATACTTTTGACTTGCGTGATCTCTGTTATGAGACATTTGCCGAGATAACTAATCCGAATGTAGAGCGAAATCGTGGCGGCGGTGTTCCGGAAATTCTCGTCCAACAAAGTGTACGTTCCCATCATAGACCTTAAATGACATAATCACCGTATTATTAAGCCCCTAGGATTACACAGGACGTTCCTCACTAAGCGTACTTTCCTTGAAAGGAAAAGTAAAATACATCAAAGGAAGCACACTTTTCTACGGATTTCCCGGTCTCGGATATAAAACAAAATGCCTAACGCTCCAAATGACGTAATCGTATATTTTATAATATTATTTGCAAAAGTAATGTTGTATAACATTAATATTAAAAAAAACATTGCAAGCGACAATTTAATGGAAAAACACATCTGTAACATCAGCTCTTTCTCAATAAACGATTTCCAACGAATATCAAACGCAATCGGACAGTGAGATTGGAGAGAGCTTTCGACGAGAAAAATTCCCGTCCAACATCAACAATCGGCGATTCCTCGGTTTTCGGCGGTTATCACCTCGAAATAATCTGGCGTTTATAGAAGTCCGACAAGTGTTCCGCCAATTCGTCCCGCTCGCGGATTTGTTTGGCAATACTGTTCAGCAGACTATCGACTGGCACAGTGGCGGAGCCGATTCTCTGGCGCGAGACCATCTCAAAATACTTGCACACTTGTTTCCGAACAAGTAGCTGGATACCGACGCCACTCGCTTTTTCCCCAAAGAAATCTGCCGGCACAGAGAAGACGACGGATCTGCCGCCGTAAAATTTCTCGTTCTCGTAGTTGGAGCCTTGATAAGGACGATAATCGCGTCGATTCGGCGACAATGATATCCAATCCTCATCCAGCACGCGAAACATCACAACAGTTTCCTTAAGGACGACTTTGTCAAACGCCGTGGTCCAAGGGACAAACAACTGTTGCAATCAGATCATTAACGCTCTGATAATTTATCAAAATTTATTCAACTATTGCTAATAAAAATTTAACTCAGACGTCATATTTTTTGTATTGAATCATAGAAACAGAGACTTAGCTCTCTTATACTAATTGTAAGTTCTGAAGATTATCTGCGGTTTGTATCCCAGGGTTGACCTAATGACTTTACAATATTTCCATATATACAATGTAATAGAAATTATATATCATATTAGTACACGAAAAATATTTGCTTACATTTTCCACGGCAATCTCTAACATCATTAAATGCGAATCATGGGAAAGAATGAGCGACGACATTGCTCATGAATTTATGTATATATCACAATGTTATTCCATCGTCTTGTCCGTGACATTAATTTTACGTTGGTCTTTGTTGGTAATGCGCCAGTTACGATTCATTTTTCAGCGTACGTTCACATCTCGTACTATATAATTTGTAGGTTCGAACGCGTCTGAAAATCAGCAGAAGTTGACGCTTGTTGCATATCTCGAATGCTCATCGATATTAAATATATCCATGGCATGTATTTGCTCGAAATAAAAAACAATTAATCTATGAGCTGTACACTCTTAGGTCCAGTTTCACAAACGTCGGTTAACTGTTAACCAGAGTTCAGTCGACTTCCTATCTTTCTCTATCTTGTTATCCAAGAAGAGACAGAGGATCAATTAACCATGGGTTAGCGGTTAAACGACGTTTGTGAAACTGACCCTTATAGAAGTTTATTATTACAAAATTTCTTTATTTAACGCATCTGTACAGTCTCTCAAGAGGAAAATCAGCTCGTTATTAATCAAAGAAATTACTATTAAGCGTTAATGCGATAGTGACACATAAAGCATATTATATAACGCTTAAGAAAGTTGTACAAAAGTTACTTGCTGTTTCCCTGCGAACTCTCATGTAGCAAGAAATTCGATTTAGCGAAAGAAAGGCCAATCCCGTTGAGATTCATTAAACCGACGTTTCACTACGAAACTTGCGTCATTAGTAACTCACAAAAGAATGGAAATAGACTTATACATTTATTGTTGCCGGATCAGCCAAACTGCAACACAATGTCTCAATATTGTAGACCGAAATGCCAGATTGTCCAGCCACAGAATTACTAAAAGATTCTTCCTTCTCGTACAGATCGAAGAAAAGTTTTCGTAATGTTTATTTACTCCATCAACAAAACTCATATCCTATATCACCGGTCTTTTAACGTGTAACGTTCCGTTACAATATACCAAAGATTTTCTCTTGCCAGTTTTAGTATTTTGCAAAAATATTAATTTAAAATATTTCACATTGTATATACAAGTACTCGTAAATAGGAAAGTTTCAAGGAGAAAAGGAAGTCTTGTATCCAAACTTCCTTTTCTTTTGATATGAAAAAGATCGTTAGCGGTACTTTTAATAATTTACAACATTAATTTAGAACACAAAATTATTGTTTCAAAAGAGATAGTACAGTGGAATGCATATTAAAGAAATTTTTATTCATTTAGTTGCATTATTTATATTATAAATATGCGTAACATTTGCCAAAAAACAACAAAGAGAAAATTCCGCCTTAATCTTAATGAATCTTTACTTAAGGTGAAAAATTCTTTTTTTTATCAAATGGACTGTCTTAAAAATGGGGACTGTTTTCAGAAAAGTAATTATAATTAAAATTCGTGTGGCTCAAATGTGGGAAAAACATAAATTTAAAGAAATAAAGGACTAAGAGCCGCGACAGTGTTAGTGTTTAGATATTTCATATTTTTAAATTTATTACTAAAAAGATTACCTCAGCCAGGGTTAATTATAATTACGTGATTCCCAAACACTCAGAAATACTTGTTAAATTCCGAAAATTAAGATGTAATGTACAATAGAGAGGTCACAGACGTGCTCTATTTAACGTATACCATTCATTTTATATCCGTACAAAGTGTTATATACAATTATTAGAACATATTTGTGAATAAGGAAATTAACTGTCTCTGTAGTTAAATAAAACACTATAAAAACGTACAAGATATATAATATACGTTAACTATCGGTAATAATTTCCGCACATTGTGGTATATAATTACTCAAGTTTAATATCTTAATAGAGTGTATTTAATAAGAAGATTATCATTCGCTCTTCGACGTCTGGTTTCTCTAGAACTATGATTTTCAGCACAAGTATAACATTGCGTCCGGATTTGGCTCCGTTTCCATTTTCCTCGCGCTTCTCAATTTCAAACGCAATTTAGCGAGTATTCAGCAAAATCAAAAACCACGAATTATATACCGCTGCGCCGTAAATACTTGCATCGCTTGGCTTGCATTGCTCTACACTCTATCGATGCCTCTATAAATTCTTTATTCTCCGAAACGTATACCGCGCGCGGCGCTATATTTCCTATAAACATAAATCGTGGAGGTTCGGAAGTTATATTTTATTTTGGCTGTAACATGCGAGGTTAAAGCTCCCGTAGAAAAAGAGATTCGGACGGAAACATCGACCCGATTTAAATAAACGTACAAAAAGGCACAGCTAGCCGACGTGCCGTTGATTTTTAAATATCATTTACGAATTGTTGCGGTAGTTGCTGTAACTCAAAATTCTCACCCTACTCGTAAACTCGTGCAGCATAACTCAACGCGTAATAGTACCGTTGTATCACAACGCGGAAACTTGTAATGTCCAAACTTCAGGAATACAACTGTACTGTATAGAAACAAGCAACTAATTAGAATCGCTAATTTTAACATTGTTAATAAGATCAAGTAATGAAAAAGCCCGCTTACTTTTTTGTACATTTTAATCAATGTGGAGGAAGACCATACATACGTAGGAAAAGAAAAGCAAAATTTCTTTGACAAATCTAACAAGAAGAAAATCCAGGAAGACATTATATTCACGTAAGATGTATTTATCTAGACATTCATTGGTGGATGCCTTATGGAAAATGACAGAGGGAAACTTGAAATTTCCAGCGAGATATTTTGTATGTTACAAAAAGAAGACAGCTTTATATGTATATGCGAGGAAGGCCTTTCACATGGATAATGTCTGCAAAATGCCGCCACGATACGCGGAGCGCACTAAGATGTTGCATACAAGAGCACATAAATGCTTAAATTTTTACAGGTGCACCGAGCCATCGCTTTTTTCTCATTGTAAAGGCCGCATCAGCGGAAGTTCACAGAGAAATGGAAATGGGACGTCGCACGCGACGTCGTCCATGCCACCCTCTTTCATTAGGGCACCACAGTGCTGTTTGCCTCCTCCGTTGTCGGGCTGTCCGCCCCACTTATCGCTCCACCTGGTATAACCGGTTTTCGCCAGCGAATCGCCTAACACCGTGACCCATTCGCCTTCCGCATAAAGATCGTGTATACCTAAGAAGGCCTCGTTCGGATACGCCGCACCCTTGATCGGTCCGGAGTGATTAAATATATCCAACAGTATCTGAAGAGGATCGATATATTATATTAATCAGGCCGATATAGATATATTGATCTAATAATTATTGCGACACCTCCCGCACGTGCGGAAAAATATATTTGTCCGGAGTAAATTAAAGTCATAAGGATCAGTTGCGTATTATACATATAATCAATAATAGTTTGCGATAGGACTGATAACTCACGTGCTCCTCAGCAATAGAATTGATGATGGCGAGGTAGCCACCCTCATCGTTACAAAATTTCCTCGCGTCGTTCCACGTGGCGGCCCTTGTGTGCAACTTATGCGCACCGACACCCATTGTGTAACGATAATCGTCTCTCATCGGAGCGCCACGCATGGCCACGTTGCACGAGCACATCATGCCGTGCATCATTACGTTTTGTAAGTAGAATTGCTCGAGATGCTGCCGGTTCTGCTGCGTCATCCAGTCCGATTGTCCGGGGATCGTCGAGCTATTGACCGATGTCAAGCACGGGCAGGCGGATTCCGGATTATTGATGCTCGCGGCCGCGTCCTGTGCGCCCCCGTTCAGATGGGGGGTCGTTGTCTGCTCCAAGTTGCCGTATCCATTCGATGGTGCGGCCGAGACAAACGACTCGCGAACACCAAGCAGCGCGATGCAACCGACGAGTAACAAGTACACCATCGTTCTTCCCCCGGATTCGTCGCTCTTCGAAGATTAGCCTTGCAAAGTACTCCACCGAGATCTGCGAACGATCGTCAAGTTTGAAAATTATCTTTGACGAAACAAAGATTGCCTTTGATGAAAATGAGGAGGATGCTGAAAGCTATTTGCAATTAATAATGGGAGGAATTTATAATTATTTATAGCAAATATACGAATTGGAGGCAAATTAATTATTCGTCGTTTAAAAATTGATTCATAAACGCTTCTTCAAACGATCATCGATTATCGGAAGAATAAAAATTGGTTTTTAATACAATTTAAGGGAAGAATCTCAAAACTGATTACTAATAGAATATTAGAAAATAATAGAAATGGAATGACATATTAATGATTAAAATGACACCACAATAATATAAATCTCATGATACAGCGCGATAAGTAAAATTTTATACATTAAATTGAATGTTAAATTAAAAGGAGTATATATAAAAATTTATTATGCAAGGATTAATACCTTGTTTGAAGAATTTCACACAATATTCACGAAAAAGACTCAGAGTCAGAAGGAAAACCGGAGATCCACTTCAGATTTCTAGCTAATCTGGCTAGTGTTCGTTCTTGAAAACCGTACGAAGAAACATATGCGCACCAAGCCGGACTCAAAGAAGAACTGAGGCCTGTTTATATTGTACGCCCCTACGTCCCTACCCGACCGCTCGGCATACCAAGACAGGCTAAATGACCCTTCCAAAAAGATTGCAGTGTTCTGTCATCAGCAATCGTTCAAGGACCGACGGCAGTGGCTCGCAAACGACGGCCTTCTGTTTTACATCTGTTTGTAAGGCCAAGCTCAATCGAACATTCGGGACGGTCGAGAAGAATCTATGTTCCTCTAACTGACGAACACGTTTTGACAAAGACGATATCCTTGATGAGGAAATTAATTAAATGCTACGAGATAATTCATGAAAGTCATTCAAAATCAGATCCAATTGACTACTAAAAAAAAATTAAATCTGTTTCCTCCTTCATTTCTTTCTCTTTTACTAACTCACATTTTTTCGGTAAAGCAAAAAATACTGTAAATATATATTATTATAAATTTATTTCCGCATGATTGTGTGAAATTGTTATTGTACTTTTTGAGAGAACCACTGATCTATTCTCGAGCAAGTGATAAAACACACTCCGCCTTCTCATCCTGTCTCCTATTAAAAAGTATCACATAAATTATACAAATTGTATATTATAATTTATATAATGCTTAATGAATGATATAAAACCAATTCAACATATTAAAATGGCGTATTAAGATGCTACTTTTGTTAAAATTAAAATTTTGGCGAATAAATTTTTTAGTGGTGAGTCATATTTAAGGATATTTATTGTTTCACATTAACAAAAAAAATGCCTTTCACATTGGATAACAGTACCCGGACAGAATTTTCTCTTAAAATTTACCCTGCAAACACGTAATCGTGGGACGATTTGGCATTTTGTTAGAATTTTATGAGTTTTTGAAATTTTACCATACATTTTACTAGTAAAATGTGTACTAAGTATAATTACTAGTACAATGTATGGTAAAATTTAAAAAAAACTGTTATAAAGTTCTCGAAAATGCCATGTTGTGCCACGATTACATGATTTTCAGGGTAAATTTTAAGAGACAATTATCTCCGTGTAGTGTTTTCAGCGTCACGCTAATCCCGCTTTGTGTCGCGATTGATGCATTTTCGCATGTCGGCGAAAACCGTATTGCCTTTGCATACGATATCTTGCAATTCGTACACAAGTGCTATTCTTAACGGTAAATTTTCGAGTGCCGCGTGTAAAATATAGACCAGGCACGCGCTCGAAGTTAATCGGAAGATTTAAGATGGGCCAACCTCTACCGTGTAAACGTCTCCGGAATATAGCACAGTAAATTTCCAGGCATACAGAATCGCAGTGATTTCTCTCCCCCTTTCTTTTGGCGGCGTATATATCGAAAGAGCTGGTAGCTGCAGCGGATTAGAAGAACATAAATTACAAACGGTTAGATAATTGGAAAAAGTATAACTTCCTCGCGGTATTAAATGGAATTGGATCCCGGACAGACGGAACAATGTGCCACTGTGTGGCGTAGTATGAAATTTGCCTGATCTATAATAGAGAAACGAAATTTCACATTTTATTGTATGTACACGAACAAAGCAGCACTCTGTACTTGTCTTTCGTTTTATAATTATTCAAATATATTAATCTAAAATTCAAATTTGATGAATTCCTAGAAGATAAATACTTACATATATTTGCATAGAAAATCTGGGGAATAAAAAAAACAAAAGTAAACTATCTTTTGTTATAATACAAAAATACATACAGCTTTGTGTCAATAGAGATTTCCACGCTTGAATAAAATTTAGTTAAAAAATAAAAATATTTTTATATTTCTCATTGATTTATCAAAATGGAATGGAAATTTTATTTCTGTTTTTTTTTTCAATCGAGAAAAAACGGTCGACGTGGCTCGATAATCCATATCATATTCAATTATCCGTCGTATCTTTATCAATTTACGTTCATGGGGTATCTTCACGTTATTTACCCCGAGAAACTATAACAATAAAGCAAACAATATGAAAGAATGAACGTAACAGCGATCTAATATAATTCTTGATGTACTTTTCAGATGCGACTAAAGCCCTTCCTCGTAACCTTCTATCTCCTGTTGCTTTCGATCGTCTCGACCTATATTGCCCCTGCACTAGGTTCTGATATACTTCGTTACAAGGTAAGTACTGTATATACATTTATCGATATCGATATTGTACATCTTCGTCAAAGCGCAAAATTATTTTGCTGTTTTGTTGTCGTATTTACTGTAAACGAAATGATTTCTAAAAAATAGGATTATAAGAAATTTATTTTATGCATTGTATTTGACACACTTATTTTTCTAAAGCAGATTCTTTTAATAAAGATTATTTTAAAATCAACTAAGCTAATCTTGACCAAAAGATTGATCGATTCTCAGATCAGGAAGCAACTCGGCAATCGAATGATTAATAAGACTTTTTCGCGTCCAAGTCTTGAAACTTAAATTGAACATGATTGCTTCAATTAGTTTTAATTAATTTTTATGCCTTCCTGTCTTTATAATCGATTTTTGATAATCTTCTCTTTAACTGACGGCCCAGTGAACGAGGCTAATCTCACAAAAAATGAATAATTGATGCTGCGTTTAAACATTGCGTCTGAAGTAAAGTCACACGTAAGCGAGATCGGGCGGAAGATTAATGACTGAAATTAGGCTTCCTCCGGGAAGCTTTTCAGCGCTCGTTTCAATTTCAAGTCGCGACACAACTTATCGGCCGATTATACAAATCCCTCACGTTCTCGCTGTATCCTCTCGCGCCGTATTTCCTCCCTTTCTCTTGCTCGCGGATATTATTACTCGCATAAGCCCTCGTCTGAAAGCTGATGACCGCAAGACGAGTACTCTCCTTACAGCGGATCTTCCTGGCTGCGCTCCAAGGTACAGACTTCTCGCGTAACTCTCGTCACCGGATGGTGACCGTAATCCGCATCCCCGGTATCTGTGTACATTTATCTGTGTACATTGACATTGCGCTGTATTTACCTGAGCGAAATCGACCGTCGGCGCACTCGAAGCGCATAACTCCGACCGCGAGACTCTATCCGGAAACCGGCGAGGCCGCGCGCAGACCGCCCCTCGTTTCCTCGCGCGCGGGGTGGACTTCCGGCGACTTGAAGCGATTCAAGTCGTCGAGGACGAATAATTCACGAGACGCTTTGAATATTTTCAAGTCCTCGCGGACGATAAAGGACGCGACGCCGACTCGCCCGAGACAATCGACTCGGGAGATTCCTCGGCTTCCAGTTCTACGAGATTACGCCGTCGAAAAAGTTATCTCGTCGCGCGACGTCGTTACGTTATATTCTAACGAAATCTTTTATGCATACGCGACTTGCTCGACGTAATATCTCTGACGTGTGTGACATTCGTTATTTTCAGCGCTCGAGGCATCGTTATTTTACGGTGGAGAACAATGGCGTGTCGCCGGACACCGGGAATCCTCCGTCCGCCAAGCCGACCTCGGCGGATGACGGATCCGCAAACTCGGAGGACCGACTCGCCTACAAGAGTGCGTAACCGCTAAATCTCTACGTACACATATGTCAATTAGTAATTCGTACGTCGGTTCCGTCGGGTATGCGCCGTTCGGCCAAGTTTAATTAAACTGTGTGTATTCCCGGTCACACAACTCGCCGGGATTGTATGTACACGTTTACCTCGTGTCGTCATTAGACCAGACCGTACACCGCCAAAATTGCGTAGAGCACCAATCCCGCGACTAGCAGGATCGCAATGACGTAGAAAAACGCGCACATGGCTGCGAGACTGCGAGAAACGCTCGCATCGCGACGCGAATAAAAGAAGGGTGACGTAGCGCGACAGCAATGCGATCGAAACGGGGCGGAAGAATTTTTTTTTATAACGCATCGATCGCAGCACCTTCCTTTTTAGTACAGCAAATTGTAAGTACATATTTTGTACATTGATGGACAGAATGGTTGCAACACTTTTTTTTTTTTTAGTGAGTTAGGAACATGCATTTAGATTGAGGGTTGCGTTCCAAAATCTTCTTCCCCGAGCAATATTTTACTCGACGGCTATTTCCGAAACCATTTTGAGCGTTTTCGATCTATTTCTCAAGTAAAATTTTCCCTCCGAGAAAACGTTTTGGAACGTAAACCTGAATCTACACGAGCGTTCTTAAACTCATTTAAAAAAGCGTCGCAACCATTCTGTCCATTGATGGTTCACTTTACATCGCATTAAATAATATAGACCTAGTTTACATCGTGCACTTGATACGCGTATCAAATAGTAACAAATAGTAAATAACTAGTAAATTCGTTTGGTCATTGGCTGATCAGTTCAAATACACTATTTGATACGCGTATCAAGTGCACGATGTAAACTAGGCCAAAAAGACAAAAATGATGCATCTATCTGAAGATATACAGGGTGTTATGTAATGCCCGCCTCACCACTTATTTATGGATAGGACTAGATTGAGTCGAAAAGTCCTCTACCATTTTGCAATTTTCGCAATAGTTATCGAGTTATTGACCTAGTTTACATCGTGCACTTGATACGCGTATCAAATAGTAACAAATAGTAAATAACTAGTAAATTCGTTTGGTCATTGGCTGGTCAGTTTAAATACACTATTTGATACGCGTATCAAATAGTAACAAATAGTAAATAACTAGTAAATTCGTTTGGTCATTGGCTGATCAGTTCAAATACACTATTTGATACGCGTATCAAGTGCACGATGTAAACTAGGCCATTATTAAAAATCGCTGTCTTGGCCCGGACTATACCACCCAATTCGAGCTCGCGGCGAGATGCGGCCGTCCCGCGATCGACGTTGCTAGGCGCACGGGGAATTGTTTACGACACACGGCAAGGGCTACGTATAATAAACAACTCCCCGCGCGCCTAGCAACACTGATTGCGAGACGGCCGCATCTCGCAGTGCGCTTTAATTGGGTGGTAGGCCGGGCTAAGATAGCGATTTGTAATAATTAATAACTCGTTAACTATTGCGAAAATTGGCAAAATGGTAAAAGACTTTTCGACTCAGTCTAGTCCGCTCTATCTGTAAATAAGAGGTGAGGCGGGTATTACATAACACCCTGTATATTACGTCCGCAGAATAATACCGCTTGCAAAACTTTATTCTGACATGGCCGCTTTGCGCATATATTAAATAGCGATGGTAAAACCAGCGCGAATCGTGAGACGCGAAACGAAAAGAGAATATTCGGAGAACGAGGAGGAATATCCCGAAATGATTTGGCAGTATTCTAAGGTTGCGATCTCCAACGGGGGTTGCGCGGAGTGATTTATTGCAACAAGATAGAACGGTCGCATTACCGAGGATGATCGGCAATTTTATCGTGAATGGACGCGTATATTCGCGGCGCGGGGTATCCCGCTTTCGCACATATAAGATCCCGTCATCAATCGCGCGGGTTTGTAACATACGGCTGACGGGAAACATTCGCGGCCGCGCATCCAGGGTTGCGATCCCGATATGCAACATATCTCGAGCGGGGAGAGAGACCGGGGAGGGAACGAGGCAAACGTTAGCGAAGACGCGATATTTTCCGCCCTTTCAGACGACGACCCGTGCCTGGTGAAGTACTGCGGCGCGGGAAGAGAGTGCCAAGTCTCCGCGGACGGCGAGGAGATCGTCGCCACATGCGTCTGCGTTCGTAGATGCGCGCGGAGGCATCGACCGGTCTGTGCGAGCAATGGCAGGGTGTACGTCAATCACTGCGAGATGCACCGCGCGGCCTGCGACGCCGGCACGCCGTTAACCACGCGAAGGCTCTCCAGATGCCTCAGCAACGGTGAGCACGTGCTGGACAGTACGTCTCTGCCCTGCGTAGCGCGAGAAGCTTGCGGCATGCACGCGAGGAAAATACCTCTTTGAAAAGAGAGGGATGTAATGGCGTTTATACGTACACGGAGAGAATTTTCTCTTAGAATTTACCCTGGATATCATGTAATCGTGGGACAATACGGCGTTTCGAAGAATTTTATGAGAGTTGTTTGAAATTTTGCCATACGTTTCACTAGTAACCATACTTAGCTTACATTTTACCCTTAGAAAAATTTACTTTAAATGAAAGTAAAGTTTTTGAAAGTAATCTTTCAAATCCAAGGGTTTACTTAAAGAAGTTAAAAGTTTACTTAAGAAATTTTTTAGTAATTTTGGACACTTAAAGTAATTTTTAGATAGCCAAGCCTGTCGAAGTTCCCGCTAGAGGGCCGCGCGGCATAGCGTTTTCTCGCAAGAAGAAAACCACACACGCGGTATTATATCGCATACTTTTCACAATTCTTAAAGTAGGTTTTAAGTTTACCTTAAATAAAAGTTTTAAGTGTCCGAATTTATTTTTTATTTTTTTTATTTTCCTAAAGTAAAATTTTAAGGTTTTCTAAGGTGTATTTTCCCAAGGATACTAGCAAAATGTATGGCAAAACCTCAAAAAACTCTGATAACAATACTTCAAAATACCATGTTGTCCCACGATTACGTGATTTTCAGACTAAACTTTAAAAGGAAATTCTCTCCGTGTACATACGTGGAGTATTTCCGATTTCAATCGATGGACTTGATGGATTTAAAGAAAGTCGGAGCAAGAAGTTTGCTCCGTTTTTGTGTATGTTTTCTAATATCGGCATTAAAGAGTCGCTAGCCATTTTGCATATTCGATTATTGTTTATCGGGTATAAAAACCCATATTTTTTACATTCTTTACATTAATATTAACGGTGGTAATTCTGGGAAGTGAAACGAGATTTTCTGCTGGCTTGAAATCAATTCTTGTATTTTAGATTCCAGCGAGATGGAAGAACACCGGGGTTTATCGACCCCGCGGCGTACACTGAACTCTATCTATATTTAATTTTAATTATCTATCTATTTAACTCAATTAATTATTGGATTTGACTTTATTTAATTACTTAGCAGGACTGATCAGAAACCGAGCTTAATAGCAAATGCATATAATTAATCAATTAATGCACCACCGACTATTTTTAGGTTGTAATCGTAAATTATTGATGCGACCCGAATCTTATTAGAGAAACGTACGTACGTTATACGTGAACCAATATATGTACATAATTAATCACGACTTTTTAAATCTACTACTATAACTTTTTAATTAACTTTTATCAGTAGATTAAATTTATATAAGTATAACAGCGTATAAATCTTATAAGACACATCAAATAAAGATTATCCAAATCTTTTTGCCGATACTTTAAACTTTAATTTCATTGTTTACTCTACGGGAAAAAGAAACCACGATCTCCACCGGACTCGCAAAACTTTGGTTTCATTATGAACTCAATAATAACTTGGAAGTTTTCTATTAATTTATGGCAGCCGCGCAGCAGCCTAGTTTGTTAAGAGTTGTAATGACAGGGTAAAAAAGAGATGTCGTTACATGGAACTCCAAGTTTATGATAGAATGTTCCATCATTTCCAGGTAATTACAGCGCACAGGCACGGAAGGATTTCTTCGCGTACCATGTCTCCTCCAAAGGCAAGAGTATCGCCAAGTATGCTAAGTCGAAGAATAAAATGAAGCATCATCCGGCGAGCAAATCGATTCCGCGAAAGAACGGCCACGGTATTGAGGAGTGTTCGGCGCAGGAATACGAGATTATGAAAGTACGTTATTGATTATGCTCCCCGATGCAATAATTTCCGATTTAAGACGCGGGAAAGTTTAATGGGGTCTTTTCTCCCCGGATCTTCTTACGCTGCAAATAGATGGCTTTATTTATCATTATAATATTCTCCGATTGAATTCGGATATAGTTTCGATAAACAAGTTTTACTGGAGCACGTGAAACGGTACCGAGTTTGAATTTGTTATCGAGCTATGATACGCAAATAATACTCGATCTTTCTTTCTTCGAATAATGACAATTCTGAAACGCGCGAAGAGTAAAATTATTTATATTAAAATAGTTTTAAAATAACGAGATCCTCGCACTTTGTGGATTTAATACAGTTTACTTGGCATACAATACTTAGATGAAAGTCCCCTATTATGAGATAGGATTCTAATATGAGAAAAGCGGAGTTTCCATTAAATTAATAGCCATCGTTTGTTGATTCAACCATGAATTTATTGCCCTTCGGGGCGAAATTTAGTGGAAAATTCATTGTTGGTTTATGTAATCGTTACGAAAAAAGATTTCTAACTGAATTTGAGTGTTGAAAAAACCTGCTATCTCATAATAGAGGACTTCCCTTTATGTAAATTCAGCTGTGGTATCGAGATTTCTTCGTATAAATCTAGACGAATTAAATATGAATTAAAACACGTCGAGTAAAAAATATCTTTCTTGAATCTTTTATGATTTTTCGCGCGGCAACACGTTTGAACTAACCCTTATTAAAAAGATGATAAAAAAATCAGGTTATACTATTCAGGTTATCTCTTTTATTGTATTTATCCGTAGGACAACTTACTCCTGTATAGCCACGCCAGATTAATGGCCGAGGATAATCACAGCAAGGAATACTTGGTCAGCATCATGTTTTCTCACTACGACAGAAACAATGACGGTAATTTGGAACGGGAGGAGCTCGTGCAGGTGATTTAACATTGAATATACTTTTCTCCGTATAGTGTTTCTTCATTAGCGTTTTCTCTCGAGTTAAACCAAGCTGAAAGAGACCTACTTGCGATGAGATTTATTTGATGGCCGTTATTTTAATGGCAGTAACACGATTTTTCCATTGCGCGAGCGTCCCGCGAATAATGCTCTTAAGCTCTCTCGAACATTTAGATCGCCAAGGAGGAAAACATGGAGGAGCTATCCGCGGGATGCAACTTGAGCCACATGATCAGCTACGATGACACCGATGGTGACGGCAGATTGAACGTTAACGAGTTCTACATGGCCTTCAGCAAGCTTTACAGTAAGTAGCATTTATCTCTCGCGAGTCGATGACACAAATTAATATTTACGTTAGTAAAATGTGTTGAGATCGGTTTAATCCTTTAAGCTTAATTTCTCTTATTTAAGACAAATATTCGTATTGTCCTCTTGCTACTTAACAATTTTGTAATCTCTTCGCCGCGATTAGTGCAATTTAACCATTTGCGAATAATTTTCTTATGGTAATCCACGTTATAATGGTCTCAATGCAGGACGCATTGTCCATAGACAATAGCTTCGCCGTAAATTGTCAGACTGCACACGTGACCGGTACAGTGCCATCGCGCATATATAAACGACCGCGAGGAATTATTATGCAAAGTTTGTACGGCGAACGATCGTCCATTCAATTTGGCCGAAGTATAACGTACACATAATAATACGCGAGGGTGATTCTGATCTGTGCAGGTGTATCGGTGGTATCGTTGGATAAATCCCTCGAAGTGAATCACATATCCGCGCGAGTCGGGGACAACGTTGAGATTAAGTGCGACGTCACCGGAACACCACCCCCGCCTTTGGTCTGGCGCCGTTATGGCACAGACGTGGAAACCCTCAGTGAGCCGGAGGTATTCTATTCTAACGAAATAATTCGATCTCTATCCATCAACGTTAGCCCCGTAGACGTAACACCGTCTTTACAGCTCATTACCATTTTAATAAGAAGAAAATATCTATTTCTTCACTTTCTCATTGTTACAACCAATAATCATCTCGTTGAAAATGTTTTTGTTCATTTTTTTGACATTTTATTATATTCTTCCAAACTAAAATTAAGATTTTTAATCGCTTGCAAGCGAGCAATAATGGGAAAAAATTAATTTCACGGTCCGACGGACAGATAATTTTCCTCATTCGAAGCAGGAAAATAAGAGGTATGTTACAAGATAATTGAAGCAACGCGAATGCACTACTTTGTAGATTCGCGTTCTCAACGATGGCAGTCTCTATCTAACAAACGTGCAATTGGAACATGCCGGTAATTACACGTGCCACGCTCTCAGGAATCAAGACGTGGTGCAAACTCACATGCTCACTATATACAGTAAGTCTTTCAAACGGAATTATATAAATTGTGGTACAATTTGAAATTATACAATCCTTGGTCCTGTTTGGAAAATAAAAACATCTTTTATGTAACAAATTATACAATTGATTTATATAAAAAAGCAAACAAAATTTTACCGGCTTATCAAGGCTATCTTTTTTATCCACGGATTATTGGACGAATTTAAATTCAATTTATTGTTAACAAAAAATACTACAAAGTAATTTTTCATGTTTCACTAATAAATAAATAAATAGTTAAATCTCTAAATAACGAAAAAATTTTTACGGATAAAAGAAAATTACATTTCAGTCAGTTATTATGAAATATATTATAAAGTTGTGGGGAATATCAGCTTGAAGCATGATAAATGATACTATCGATCATTAAAGAAAATAATTTATGTTAAAAATAATCGAGTATGACATCTCCCTCAGCCGTGCCCGAGGTCAGGGTGACACCACAGTTCCAATCCAAGCGGCCGAAAGGAACGGCAAGGATGAAGTGCCACGTGATAGGCGAGCCGCTTCCGCGTGTACGATGGCTGAAGAACGACAAACCCCTGAGCGAGGATCAACCGGACAAGTACGACGTGATCGGCAACGGTACCAAATTGCTAATCAGGAAGGTCGATTATGCCGACACCGGGGCTTACATGTGTGAAGCGACCAGCGCTGGGGGACTAACGAGAGACATCAGCAGCTTAGTGATTCAGGAGCAACCTACACCGAGTGAGTAAGGAGCAACTTCTTGCTCTAATGGACACGTAACATTAGCCCGTTATGGAAATGTTTAATTAAAGAAAATACTATTTAATCTAGAAACGCACTAGTACTTTCGCAACAATATTCGCTGATAATTTTCTTAAATAATTGAAACATTTTAAGTAGAGGAAAGTCCCCTATTATATGAAACAGGATCTTAATATGAGATAGCTGAGGTTTCTGGTAAATTAATAGGCATTGTCAGGTGATTCCACCATTACTTTATTCTAATATTGGAGCAAAATCTGTTTAATGGAAAACTCATTGCTAGATCGTGTAATCGTTGTTAAAAACGATTTGTGATTGAATTTGAGTGTTGAAAACCTGCTATCTCATAACAGAGGACTTTCCTCTACTATCGTATTTTTACTTATCATCTCATCATGTCTAATTACTGTGACACAATTTTACATGCAGTTGCGACAGACGAAGAACGCAGATTCTTATCTTTTCACGAGTGGGGCATTTTAGTATATGAACCATCTACGTGCCATGCGTTGCACGAAATCCATTCCACAGACATTATACCTGGTACCCAGGTGCGAAATCTGCATTATATACTCGTTCGTTTTCTTTGCTACCTTTTCTCTCGTTCTCTCGACAGTTTTACCGTTGCATTCCGTACACGTTTTTAGGAATACGTCTGCGGGCCTAAAAATGTCCCCTGTTCTTGGGGACGCGCCATAAACGTTGCCGATAGATATGTGTACGTTAGCCAACCGGATAAGAACCGCGTGCTTGTGATCAGCGAAGTGCAGATGATGATAATTGATGTATGTTTTCTCTTCTATTAAAAAAAAATCGAAACTATTCGGAATACCAGCAAATCATTTCAATGTAACTTCTCAGGTGGTGGCTACTGACAAAAACCCGGTGGATCTGTGGTATATACAAAACCTTGACTACGTCTGGGTGTTAAACTGGAGGAGCGAAATGGACGTCGGTATCAAGACCGTGCAAATAATTAAAGAAGCTGCCCAACGAAAGAAACACCATACCATGCGACCCGAGCCCATCGATGCGCAATTTGATCTCGTGAGAGGCCTGTACATTCCGCAGCAGCGAGTACGTCTACTACCTTCGTCTTCCAATCTGGATAAACTATGCAGACTTAAGTGCACAAATAAATCCTTTCATCAATAATAAATTCTTTAATTAACTTAGATTGTGATCAGCGAAGAAAAAATTTTAATTAACTTAGATTACATTTGTCGTGCAACAAAGTTTTCAAGACGTATTAATTGGCTGCAGAATAGATAATTTCTAGAGACTCGAGAACTTTTCTATTCCGCAGCCAATCGACGTGCTTGAAAAATTGTCGTACAACAAATGTAATATTAGCCTGAATGTGCTATCATCTTGACCGGTATATCATTAGAAAAACTTGTATGATTCACTGGTTATATTCTCCGTACACTTACAAAGACTTTTATTTCTTAGGATACAAAACACACATTCAAGTACGGTTACGTGACCCATACGAATCAACATGGAATGTACAAGCTCGATCTGGTCGACATGAGATATACTCGTACTGTGAACCTGGCCAACTACAACTGCGTGCCAACAAGCATGGAATTCTCGGACCTTTGTAATATATTTATCGCTATTTCAATATTTTTAAAATTTTTGTCTCGCCTCGTAATTACAGATCCCGTTTGCTCCTCCAGTTTGAACGCAATGAAATTCTATTTCCAGACGGTTTTGTGATACTGGAATGCGAAGAGCCGATCACTGGCCGACCGACCGGTCAAGTACTGTTAGATTACCTTACTGATAGCGTTCTCGCTCATAAACCGAGCATCCTGGGGAAGCCGGCAATTTCTCCCGATTCCAGATATCTGGTTACTCTCGACAAACAAAACACCGGTGTCACACTCGTGGTGCAGGAGATATTACGTAATACACTTTACTTTTTAATTATAATAACAAGATGAAATTCTTTTGAATACACTAATAAAAAATTAAGAGCTATAGCTGGAACTTTTCCTGACTTATTTTTAAAAACAAATATTTTCTTAATTTCACAATAATAATTCCATTATAATGACTGAAAAATTGTTTAATTTCGGTAAATTATATATGCGTTGCATACATTTTTCTAGCAAGCGGACTAAAATTCGCTTTTGACGTGAAAACGACTTTAAATATCAGCGATATTGCCTTCTATCCATCGCAAACGACACATAGTTACGATATATACGCTTCATCGACAGACAAAGAAGACATCCTCTTCCTAGATTTAACTACTGGTGAGATAATGCTCTTCGATTTGTTGAAATTAAATCTTTCCATTCTTATTATAAGAAAATGAACTTCATACCCCATCAATTTATTTCATTTTTCTCGAACAATGAAATCATGCAATTGACATCATTTAACTAATCTCAATTTCAAATTGTAGTTTACTGTTTTCAACTGTTAATATTTCGATATTTATTGCATGAAAGATCTATTTCAAGTTGGCCGACACATTTTTCTCTTCTTAAAATTTCGTCCATTTACCCCCCAAAAAAATTATTTTATATATTTTTTTCACTTAAATACATGATTTAAAATTCATTAGATCTTTTTAAATTCTTTGCAAAATAAGCATCACAAATATAAAACTACAAAACAGAAACTAACATTTCTGTGTTTCCAGGAAAAGTAGAAATGATAACAGGCGTTGGGAAGGCAACACCACCACATCTCACCAAATGGGGTAATCCGAATAGACCGATAATACAAAGCGGTATATTTGGTCGATATATGGTAAGCCCCTCCAACCAGGCGCTCTTTGTTCTCAACGGGGAGACCCGTACGGTGAATTGCGAGATTGGTGGCCTTATACATCCCGGCGCGATTGTTTGGTTCACTGTTTCGTTGCGTTAATGAATGTAGCTTCGTGACGACGACAATATGAGACGTATGTTACGTATATAAATTGAACATAGGAATCCGAGTGGGTACCAAAGCCAATATACCGAAAAACTAGGTGGTATTAAAGGTAACGTAGAGAGACTGTGCGATAAACGCTTTCATCTTCTCTAGATAATTAATTTTAAAACAAATGTCTCGCGTTTAAATATTTTTGCATTGTGGCTGCGCTCTAATTGAGAAAAACAGCAATGCTGTTTCGAAGCAATATCCGGGGCTCGATGTAACGGCGAAAATAGTGTCAATGATAGATAACTGTAATATATCAAATTAATTAATTTATATTAGATATTTAAACCTATATTAATCCATACTAATCAGATTAAATTATTTAATCGTGTGTTAGTGAAAGGTCAATTAAACTAAGAGATAAAAATTAAATTATATGGAAGACGATAAAGACGTTAAAAGTTTTTAAACGAATCTCTAATTTTAAAGAATAAAAGTTTATAATTGTTACATAGACATTCTTATCAATTATGAAACAATATGAAACTATTTAATAAAACTGTGACATATTATCCACATGAAAAGAACTACAATATTCGGACAGTATCACACTTTTGGAATTAAAATAATAAAAGTTAAATGTAAATTTTGTTACCGATACATATCAATTGTCAACTGCCAAAACTGTGTCAAATATTAATTGCTTATATCATTGCTATATCTCTGATCGGCAAGCAGTCATGATGCCGACAATTTAAACCAATGTATTTCAAATGAGATTTTATGTCACACTTAAAAATTATTACAATACGATGATTAAAGAGACAATTAATGCAAAGTACTTACAACAATTGGAAAATGAGAATTCAAATTGTACCACTTGCAATCTTTGATACATACGGACACAATATACTCGTGTGTTACCAGCACTCTAGAGAAGATGAACAGATTACGTCGAAACATCGAGTGCATGAGAATAGCGAAGAGTGTTGAAAAACATAGACGACGAAGAAACGGCCGTAATAGAGGAACAAAGAGAGTAATATTAAGCTATACATAACGTAAATGTAATACGATCGGAGTGTAAACAAGCTACTATTAATTGTAGCATCATGTGCGTATGTTGAGTGGAGCAGATGCACCAGTGAGAATGGCCGTTTAAGAGAGAAGAAATATTCTATTATATAAATAATTTAAAAGTGTTTTCTTTCCTATAAGTACAAATTATTTCGTTGTTCTTAACTCCTCTTAGGTATCGCGTAAAACAGTTTCAAGTTTAGAACTTCGAGTATTAACAACGTATAGAATTAAAAAATTGACTATTTCAGATTATAATAACGGGAAGAGGAGTAAACTGTTAGAGTAAATAACTGCTTTAATCCATAACTGTACGATAATTATTATATAACTGTACACAATGATTCATATTATCACGTTCTCAGTTTTAGAAAAGAAAATATATCTAGACTTATACACATTTTATAATAACCACCGAAATAACGAAATATGTGGTTATTTAGTGCTAAAAGGTCATTCGCTGATACTCATACCCTATAGGAAAATACCGAAATCAGTTGAGTGTGTTACCGCGCACGAATTTATGTGAAAGCGTATAATTTTAATGATCGAAAGATGCCTTTTATGAATTTAGATTTTGGAAATACATTCTACATTACCGATTGGAAGAAATTTATTTATTCTGTATTATCGATTGCCAAATTACACAGTTAGTCGCTATAGATTTCGTAACAATAGATATAACTGTAACGTCACAACAATAATATAGTGTCCCAAAATTTACGAATAAAAGTAGAGCAGGAGAATTGGCAGCGTATACTAAATAAAACTTATATTTCTGGATACTTTGTATGTATTTTGGCAAAATTACGTGACGTATGCGCTGTTAGTGCATCCAAACGAGTTTGCTACAGGGGATTAAAAATGCCCGTCGAGAGATTAAAAAAGTCGATTCGGAGGAAATTAGCGCGCGACGGCAATAGCGTTCTTTTATACCATAGAAAGTGTCGAGAAGCTTGGAGTCGGTTTTACAAACGGATCGACAAACGGAAATGTTCGTTGAACCGATTCTAATTGCGCATACGCGTCATCAAGTTACAACGTAGCGTATTATAACAATTTATAGCAATTCGCGAGATATGTGCGTGGAACATCAGTATTACATCGATGCCGTGCTAATGCGAGCGCGTGTTGAACTGCGATTAGTGTCTTGTAATAAAAATTGCGATATACATACAACTAATTTAATAAATAACCCATGAACGTGATTGCGTTTCATAAAATGTGTATATTCTGTTTCGCTTTACAATCCCTCTTCTTCTCTCACTTGGATAACGAAGGAATATCAGATAAGCGCAACACTTTGTTATTGATAAGCGTATATCATCCCGCTCCTCTGCTCAGATAAAGAAGAAAGCATGGCGAAGCGTGACGTCTCGCCTTCGGTGAGTGGTGAGTTCAAATTTGATTTCAAGTTATGACACACGTTCACCTTTTATTCACTAATAAATTACGTGTTTAGAATTCTTGAGTTCTACATTTAACCGTCTACTGTACAAATTCGACATACGTTTACAATATATGCAGTACAAATATGCTCAGTTCTCTCAGTATTCGCGAAACAGGCCTAAGTTGCGTTAACGCAAAACGCGGCCGGCAAAGTACCGGATCGCGAGGACATTATCCTTCGAAAAATTGCATAACAAATCACGAAAGAAACGCGCACGCGCGACAACAGCTATTGATATTACATATAATTAAACGCAAATCGGCGCGTATACGAAGTACGCCTTCCGTTGTACCTTTAAAAGATAACTCTAGCAGAGGCAGGAGAGAGGGAGATGGATGCGCGGGGGGGAGACACAGAAGCGCAACAAAATGGATAAAGGAAAAGTTGTAAACGTATAAAGTATGCGAATAAATCTTCGCAATGTGTACACATGGAAGAACGCAAATATCAATCCCCCTTTCGTCACACTCCCATCCTTTTGCCACCAGCTCTGTTCCTTCCTTGTTCCTTCTTTGACTGCTCGACTTGTTCTCTATCGGCTACCAAGATAAATACACCACTTGTTATATATTGCACGGTTTCAAGTTGGTCCCTTGTCGACTATAAAACAATATGTATGCATTGCTAAAATCCTCCTCTTGTGGCTTCTGCCTGCTCGTAATCTCGTCATTGTAATAATACCATACGTCGGTGCGAGGATTCTTTGCATACGCCGTATAATGGCCCGCGGACACGCCTGAAATTTTATTTCACACGTAACAAAAGCATTCCTCAACTTTATGTATCTAAATACGTTTCAATTATTTTTGGAAGAATAATATTTAATTGTAGACATGAAAACACTGAAAGAGTACACCAGTTATTTAAAAACTATTTTAAAAACTTCTTCCGTCGTGTTGCTGCTCAATAACTAGAATACTTTCTATTTAAAAACGTACGTGCAATATTCTGTTGTCGACACGCGTTCTTAAAAACTTTCCTGAAATACAATTTTTAAAAAAGCGATTTATCACTTTCGATACGCTTACCTCCAAAGTGGCATACACAGGCATAGAGATCATAAAGGTGGCGTCCTACACTTAGACCCACCAAAGGGAATGTGACTTTATCATCTAGCTTCATACTCGCGCATTCATAAAATACAAATCTGCAACCCAAAATTATGCGTCAGCTATCCACGATAGTAAAACCTTTGTAACATCCATCTGAAGAGCATTTTCATGATATACAATATCACATACCGTTTAAGATATACAATAAGGAACTTGGGATATCGATGTACCGTCAGCGTTTTCGTGGCACATTGATTACATCCACAAACCGGACAAAACCAAGGATTATGTTCGTCTAAAGTTTCGCTATAAAAGTATTAAACTTATATAAAACATGTACCAGTAATCAGCAATAAACATGTATAAGGCAGTTAGCATATATTTTTTTATTTTACTTAAGAATGTCTAACAAATAGCGAATTCGGTTGCTTGCACTAGTGCGCACAAAGTGCACATTAAGACTTGTTTACAGTCAATTCCTATATTTCAGAATCGTCTTAAATATCTATTAAAATATTTCTTAACCAGTAAAATGATCTGTATAGCATCCATACGGATCACTTTTTGGCTAAATACCCTTTGAACGTATATTTAAGACAAAGTTAAATATAAAAATTGACTATAAACAGACCTTAGTGCACACTCAGTGCGCGTTAGCGCAAGCAATCGAATCCGCTAAAAGTTGGAGCAACTCGTAGAAATCTATTACCTCTGACTAAATGCTTGAAGGCAATCATAAAGAGACAGTGGATGGTGCGGCCGTTGCTTGCTGACACTAACGTGATCGATGGGATGCAGAATCGTAGGAACATACTCGGTATAACGAACCGCAAGCGTATCACCGTTCTGCAGCGCTACCATTCCCGTCTCAGGTACACTACATCCTGTACAATGCGCCGTATACATGCATCGTGAACAATGGTGACCCTGCGAAACAATTTTTTGTATATAGGTATAGCAATACGTATATATTTAATAATTTTGGCTTATATTCAAATTAGTTTCTTCAAATTGCCAGTATAATACTAAAATTCCAAATTTCATTCGACCACAGCTGGCCACATTTGTTAATTTGCGAAAAAATTGCGAAAAAAAGTCGAAAAATTGACGCGTAGATTACATCTTTATACTATTAATACAGTACTTAATACAGTCTAATGAGGAATCTCACCTGTCCATCGACGAAATGAATTGTGTAGTGTCCTTCGTGTGGCACATTCTTCTTGATGATATCATATAAATCCCGTGCATTTACTCGTGACGGAAGTCGTATCAAGTGCGGATAACCGAAAAGCTTCGTACCCTTGCGGTTATTCGTCGTCTCGTTCGTATCGTGCCTCAACACCAAAGGTACGTTCAGGATACGTACAGTGGGCCTAGGTCGACCAGTTTGGTCTATTTTCGTAAAGGACGAGGCTGTCATGTACGTGGAACACATCGGACACGTTTGGGGCTCCGTTTGATTTTTGAAATAATTCTGTGAAATAATACAAAACCTTGGGCTTTGCTCGAGATGGTTTCAATTGTTCGCGACAATTTTGCGCATTAACGAAAACTTTGTTGTTTTTGTTACTGCTGAATTTGTTACTGCTCCAAACAAGGCAAAAATGTTGATTGCTAATAACAAAATAAAACCCTCAGTTTAACAGCAGCATCAGATTAGTCTGAATTGAGTTCCTGATATGACTACCAGGCTTGTGGATTGTACTAAAATGGCTGACTAAACGAGTTTTCATATTCGCGTTTCCAGTCGCCTCTGCTTTCGAGAAAGCGTCCCCGGCAATTTGGAGAACGCAAATCTCTTTCTGGTTCTCGCACGCACCATTACGATGCCGTTCAGCTAGAACGTTGGACAATCTTATCTCAGACCTTCCCGAGGTGAAAGAAATGACAATGTATGTCTCGTTTGTACACCCCTACCACTAGATTGACACTGCCGTTTTAATCATCATTGGGGAGATTGCAATTGCAATCAGACAGAATGGAAAAAATATCGATTTAATTCTAATTTAGTAACAGGGAAAATTGTTATATTGAAAAAAATTACCTTCTTTCAGTACACTTGAACAACACGATAAACTCTCACCTCGATGCACGGATCGCACATGATGAAGTTACAGCTGTTTCCGCTATGCCTCTTCAAATCTCCATCCAATTCCTCGAGACATATCATGCACGGTACTTCCTCGCCTGTGATCGTACATCTTTGGCAAGAATCCACCTCCGTCGTTGGACGGTCCCCGCCACCATCGGACACTGAGGTGTACGCATCAGGAGGTTCCATGAGTTCAAAGGCGTATATCGATCGATTCGTATCATTGACGTGTCTCAAGAGTGTATTGTCGTCCTTAAATGTAAAACCTTGATGTAGAATCCAACACAGTGATGATTCCGCCTAAGTACGATAAGCTACAGCAAGCAAGTAATTCCCGAAACCTACGGTGCAAGGGGAAAATAATGTAGTAGAAAGCAACAACGGTAAGAGACCAGCAGCTTTGGGGAAATTATAAAAAAAAAAGAAAGAGAGAAAGAGAGACAGAGGAAGGAAGATACAAAGAACAAAGGGAAGAATTGTGGTGAGCCTGTACGATGAAATGTAGCCCCGCAACTATTATTTTCACGTTACGAGAATGTTCTTCCACAGAATTTCTTTAGGAGGGTAGTATCGGCGATAATCGATCCTAATCGACATACCGCCTTCTTAACTCTCCAATTATTTCCTAACAGCGTATAATCTCTCGATTCGTATAAAGCTCGATTGTGCGAAGCGATAATTAAAACCTAGACTGTATTTATATTCGTTCTTACCAAAATTATAATTTAAATAAGGATAGTCACAGTCTAATACCAGCCGGTAAACGGACGCCCGTCCCTACGATACAGTAGGTACATCCCGCAGTGTCGTAAATAGCGGAATGTTTTCACCCTTGTTCTTCAACCCAAAACACGATCTGCCGACTGTTGACTGTTGGCTTGTAACAACGCAAGCCTATTTATAGCTGTACTGGCTTGACTATCTTTATTTAGATTTCTTTAAACACGCGCGCGAATCGCAATCTTTGTGTTATTTTTAAAGTCATATTTCCCCGAGGTTTATCGATCATGCTAAATTCTTATAAAATAGCGACACTAGACCTTCGTATCTACACACAATGCATAAATTAAACAAACCACTGATCGATTTGTCGTTAGTATCGTAACTTGTATGGCACATTCTTGTTAAGTATATTTACAAAGCGAGTAATCACTAGAAAAGATTATTAACACAAAAGAATCTTCAATAAAATAAGTTCAGACTTCAATAATGTAAGAAAACGAGAATGTTTATTCATACCCACCAGAATTTTCGCTATATGATTTTCGAACACCTCCGCGAGTGCGATATTCGTCACCGAAATATCTTCTTTGCCAAGCGTTTTTAATAATTCCTCTTTCAATTTCCCAATTCGAGACTGCTTGTTCAAGGAAATAACACATCTCACAGGTTGGTCACCGTTCGCAGGAATATAAGTGACATTCAACTGCCTCTCCATAGCGTTAGGTAGCGGTACCGATAAATACATAAAAGGTTCGTATGTAACAGAAACGTGGTTACAAACTGAACACACGACCTAAAACATATTTGAATCACATATATTCAGTGCGCTGCAAACAACGTTCCCCGATACCATCTCACATTATGACTAAGGAAAAATTTACTCAAA